GCTGGATGGAAAGTTTCTTGAGCAAGTCTGCAGATGACATGAAACTGGAAAGAACTGGAAAAACACTGAAGGATGTGAGCACAATTCAGAAGGATCTCAACATATTAGAAAGCTCAGCTAGAGCTAGCAGGATGAAGTTCAATGTGGACACATGCAAGGTGCTACACTTTAGGAAAAATAATCAAAACACAAATATGAAACAGGTGACACTTGACAGAATGACAGCACAATGAAATGGATTTGGGAGTCTTAGTAGATCGCAGACTAAATATGAGTCTGCAGTGTGATGCAGCCACACAAAAGATGAATGCAGTTTTGGGATGCATCAATAGAATCATTAAGTGCAAGACACGGGAGGTGATAGTGCCTCTCTACTTGGCACTGTTTAGGCCTTATCTGGAATACTGTGTACAGTTCTGGGCTCCACATTTTTAAAAAAGGCATGGAGAAGTTGGAGAGGGTCCAGAGGTGGGCAACAAAGATGATAAAGGCTTGGAAATCAAGTTGTACAAGGAGAGGCTGAAGGAGCTGGGCATGTTCATCTTGTGGAAAAGATGCTTGAGAGAGGACATTATATCAGTTTTCAAATATTTCATGGGCTGCCACAAGGAGGGAAAGCACATGTTCTCTCGTGCTGCAGAAAGAATGTGAATCAGTGGCTTGAAATTGTAGCAAAGTAAGTTTAGATTAGATCTCCAGAAAAACTTCTTCACTGTTAGAATAATGAGGCAGTGGAATAGACTGCCTAGGGAAGTTGTGGACTCTCCATCACTAGAGGTTTTCAAGAAGATTTTGGACAGCCACTGGTCAGTGTTGATTTTGGAGTAGCTATACCTATGTTCAACTATGGGTGTTTCCCATTCTTCTGGGCTTTGGTGGTTGCCCCCCACGGCCGCACTTTCTGCTACATGTATGAGGATGTCTTTAAGCCTTCCTCAGAAGCATTGGGTGTTGGCTACAGCCAAGGCTAAGGATTTTGATTAGGATGTTCCAATGTTCTCGCTGGGACCAAAGCTGAAGGTTCCTGGCTGAAAGCTCTTGCCCCTCTGATCAGCACCAGACTAATCACAATATTTGGGGTCAGGAAGGTATTTTACCCCATGGTCAGACTGGTATGGACTGTAAGGGTTTTTGCCTTCCTCTAGTTGGGGGGCACGGCCTTCTGCCTGAGTGTATAGTGACAACCTTTTATAAAAGAAGGACATTGGCTGTCATGGTTCCCCTGCTTTACCTGTGTTAGGTCTGTGTTGTGTCAGGGTTGACAGTAATCTTATATAGAGTTTAGATCAGGGGTGGGCAAAATGCAGCCCATGGGCCAGATGTGACTGCCCCTGGTTTAGACTATAGCTTATATAGGATGGTCTGGACAGGAATGATCCTGAATCTAGCATGGGATTGGACTAGATGACCTCTGAAAGCCTCTTACAGCCCTACTTCTCTATGATTTGCTACACCTGTTGAATTCACATCAAACTCAACAAAGACTCAGGTGCATATCCCAGAAAGCATAGGGGTTTATTTTCCTTTCCCACTGTCATCCATGCCAGCATCAGGGATAACAGACTTCTTAGTATGTTCTAGGGGGGGCACTATTTTTTTTATGAGGTGTTCAATTTTTCTCAACTTCCTATGCTTTATAAATTAATTCCTCTGCTTCTCCCAAGGGTGTATAAATGCAGTAGGCAAATTCCCTCTGAAATAGCAAAACTCCTTATTTGTCTATAAGCTGATTGATACTGCAGCCTAAATTCACACCCTTCTTTTTTCCTATTTTTTCAAACCCTTATCTGAATATTCTAACTACAAGATTAAGGGTACTTAATTCCTACAGTGTTTTCCCCTTCAATGTGGGTCCAAGAAACTCTCTCTTGTATATTTCCTCTCCAAATAAATTCCTAAAACTCAAGTGCAAAACCTGTCAAAAATCTGATGCGTTTTTCCTCTCAATTTTTTTTCAGAAAAGTCAATTTTGCCAAAAATTTCCCAAGCTCAAAATTTTAGCAAAAAAATAAATAAATAAACAAAATCCTGCCATGATTTGTTTTTTATTTTTTTTCCTAAAAGTCCACATTTTATAGCAGCTTCATTCATAAACCCCAGCTAAATGAATACATGCCTGAAGAAGAACTATATAGCACTGACTGGAAAAGAATTACATTACTGAGCTGTGCTCCTTCTTATGATGTGTTGCTATTGAATGATTCTTTTTTGGAGAGAAAGGGAGTTTGTGAAGGCATTATAGCTCTGATCATAGGTAGTGAAGCTTGTCCAAGTCTGATTGCAACAGTAACCCAAATCCACTATGTTGATCAGTATATTTGCCTTTGAATCACAGGTATCACTGTGCAGGTATCCTAACCATCAGCACTAGTGTACTTGTCACACAACAAAACAGGTGCTCTTGTTAAAATTTACAAAAGTGTCGAAGTGATATAGTCAGCTTTCCAAATGGCTTGCAGTGCCTAAATGACCTATGTGACTTTCAATAGGACCTAGGCCCCCAAATCACGTAAGTGCTTTTGAAAATTTTACTGAGTGTCTTCTCTAGAGGAAAAGAGCAGTGGAATGAGATTCTGGAGATCAGGGTTTATTTTCTAGCTCTATTAGCATATGGCACAAGTATATCACTAAGATAATTGGGATATGTTATTAAGTCTACTATACCAGGAAGACTAATTTATACTAAAGTAATGCAGGCACTGTTTGCTGCAGCTCAGCTATTTCTGACCCACAAAAAAAGACTGCACACGCATTCATTATCGTCTTGAAGCAATAAAAGACACCCGTTCTTTTCTAGCTGCGTTAATGACACATTGTAGCTCCCGGTTTCCTCTCCAGATTAGTCATTCTTCTCAAATTTCCTTCTTTTGTTTAGGGATTCCCTCCATTTCCTGCTATAGGCTTCATTTTCTTTATCCTTCCAATTTAAATATTGGAAAATATTTGCACTTCAAATAGGACGAATCATTTATACTGCTATTTTTACACCATCCTCCACAGATTCTCTAGAATTGTTTTCAGATATAGCATCTGAAGCACAGTCAGATCTTTATTCCTACAAAGAGACCCTTTCACATACATTTAAACAGATCTAAGGCAATTTTACCACACCCTTTTCTTTCCTTTAGCTATTTGTGTTGGAGTCTAATTGAAAAGTCCATGACTTAAAAGGATACCATTCAAGACTTAGGTGTAAACTTTTACCACACAGGATGGTTGGACCATTGAAATAATTTATCTGAGGACATGGTGGTATGTTCATCACTTGAAGAATTTCTTTTAAGACTGGATATGCTTCTAAAAGCTATGCCCCAGCACAAATGGACATAGACATTGCTGGATAAAGTTCCCTTGTTGATTTTCACCCTGAGGCCAGATTACACACATGATCAGGATGATCCTTCCTGGTTTAGGAACCTAGAAAGGTATGAAATGCCCTGTAGACTGACAGTCACAATGAACCATGCTTTGTTGTTGTGATATGCAAAACATTCCTTTGGGACTTGGTTGAGACAACCAGGCTCCTTTCATCTGAGGAGGAACTCCAGTTACCAGTGACGTAAAGTAACCCCAGTACAACTTAGCCCTAGGCACATTACATTAAACAAGGCAACATGTGGAATGCATCAGAAAGAGGAAACATTGTACTTCTTCTTTTTTGCTGCAAACAATGGAATCCAGGCCAGCCACCAGGGGCAGGAATTTTTAAAGGTGCCTAAGTGGTTTAGGAATACCAGTATAAAACAGGACTTGGCACTCAGTTGCTCTGGAAAATCCCACCCCAGTTTGCCAGATGCTTGGTAAGTTTTCACAAGCACAACATTTTTGAAAAGAAATAGAATTTCTGCTGGAAACCAGATTCCCATTTGAGGACACACTTCTGCACCCCAAGTACATCAGGGCCCTAATGTAGACTCAAGGTTGCTGAAGGTAGAGCTTGCCTAAGGCCCTGAAACACTTACCAGAAGAAGACCCAATCCCTGTGTTGGCTACAAATGTCCAACTCGGGATCCTTAAAATTCTAGTTTATTAGGAGGATTGAAACACTGTAATCATAAACCTTGGGGCTGGTCCCCACACACACACACAGGCACACACATACACACACACAGTAGCAGGCTACAGAGTCAGGTATACCTATCCTACAAGCGCTGGAGTCTGTCGTTGAGGCTTCTTTCAGCGTGGTGTTATCTTCCAGAAGGGGGTCGCCGGCTGGTCCTTCTGGCTGAACAGGTCTGGTCGAGTTGGAGATCAAGAGGGCGCCGCTGAGGGTCACTTTTCACTGCCTTTTATCTGTCCCTGGCAGACTTTGGTGACTCCCCAGTTTTCAGGGTTGCCCAATCCAGGGGTCATTGACCCTCGTGGGACTTCCCCCCCCTCGGTGGCTACTGGATGGCATCTGTCAGCCCCAGGGGTCGTCTGCATGTACGTGCAGGTTTGGGAGTCCGTTGATGAATTTAGAATAGGGCTCTGGGAGCGGTCGATCTGGAGATATTCAGCCCAAGAGTTGGTCTCTCGCGTTGATTAACTCAGGCCAGGGCTTCTAGCCCTCGATCAGTGACGTTTAGAGATTTCCCGGTTGTTACATTGTCTTCTGTTGAGTTCTTCCGTTGGCTGATCTGCAGCTTCCCAGGTGTTAATTGCTGCCTGCTACTGTGTTACATATTCAGTCACGTTACACATTCAATCACTGATTCACTCACTCTTTCAGGGGCCAGCCTGATACAGAGAAGAGCAGTTTGATTCCTGTCCTTGTTAACATTGTTACAATGTATAACTTACTTATGAAACTACACACATTCAGTTGAAAGTTGAAAGGTGAGGAATATAAAATATAAGCTACAAATGCCATGGCACACAAATAGATAAAAATACCAAACTACAAGGGGAGATACAAAATGCGCACACACAAATTTTAAAACACAATTCCTTATCTTAAAGTGAAAGAGAGAGGAAGGAAGAAAAGGTAGAAAAAGAGAAACATATCCAAAGAGGGGAGAGCAAATGCAGGCAAGAGGAAAAGGGGGCTTTCTGCTACACCTGCTTTCTTCAGGATAGCATGCAAAATTCAGCTTCCCCACAAGCATATTCACCAAGTTCAGCATCAGACATCAGCAGCATCCTCAAAAGAAGCAGCCTGCAAAGAAAACCCAAATCCATATGAAGGTCTAACTTCTCACTTCCTCAGTTCCCTCTGCTTTCTATAATCAATGTGCAGAGCTCAAATACTACAATAATGGATGCATCAGGATGCTGACAGACATCATGACGAAGGCACGTATGGCAATACAGCTCTGGCAATAAAGTGTAAGTGAGTCACTGCATTAACCTTCTGTGGTGCGACCCAAGATGAAATCAGTGAGGCAGCAGGCAAGTTAACTGCAGTCTTGTGTCTGAGGACCTCTAGGCCTTGCCTTTAATCCATAGCTGCAGGAGTCAGAGGCACCCAGAAATAATGCTTCATATCTCCAGCTCCTAGAGCCATTACCCAATCCTTCCTGTTACCTGACTTCAGCCCTTCGAGGAATAGAGGAGACCATGATACTTTATTGACTTATAGCCTGGTTATCAGGATCACCTCCTATCTCTGAAAAATCAGTCCACTAGGAAAGAGCTGCAAGGGCACACTGGGACAGATATTTTCATTATAAGCCCTCATTTAGAGTTTGAGCCAAACCCTGTTGAAATCAATAGAAAAGCCTTCTAAGCTCTTTGGATCAGTCTCTGTGATTAAGAGGATATATACTGGATACTATGCAGTGCCTACACATTTTGGGACGTGTAGGGATGTTTAGCCCATTATGCTATCAATGGGTGTGACATTTCATCTTGCAAAAGGTTGACCCCTGGGTCCCAGTAAAGTCAAAAGAAATATTGTTGTTGATGCCAATGGAACCAAGATATGGGCCTGAAAAATGGGGATTTGTAATCAGCAAATGTGGATGTTTCATTGGCTGAATCTGTCACTGGGACATATTAGGCATTTGCTGCTGTTTGGATTAGACCTCCAAGTGCTTTATTCTCCAATGTAGAGTTTCAGACACTTAAGAAAAACACAGTCTTTCGAAACAGGTCTTCTTTGGGAAATTTACATAAATTTTGATTCCGCTTCCACACTGAAAAGTGCTGTTACATCTGTAATGTGCTGCATCATCTCATCTTAACTTGTATACCCCTGCTGCACACGCACACCCAGGAGAGATGGGATAGGGTAGGGTGCGTGTGTGTTGGGTTGGGGGGCACCCATGCTGTTGGACAGGCTGCTCTAAATCCATTCAAGTACTTCAGGCCAAGAATGCTGCAGTGAAGAATGGTTCATGATTGGTAGCTGCTTGTTTGTGACAAAATGATTCCATCAGTCATTGGGGCTAGGGACAGACATTACACATAAACCAGTTTAAGTGATCAGAAACTGGTTTAAACCTGTAACAAAACAGATGTTCGGTGCACATAAACCAGTTTCAAAATGGCTGAAACCAGTCTGATATAAACCTGGTTGAATGCAGTATCAGAGTTAACTGATTAGGCTCAAATTGGTTTATGCAATGTCTGTCTCAGACCCCTTCCTGGTTTAAGTTAAACCAGACTCCCCCAGCATCCCAGTAGGCCTGTGCGAAGCGGCTAGTATTTGCTTTGGATTCGGCCAATTCGGGGGGCAGTGATTCAATTCAATGATAAAAATCACTGTCCTGAACTGATTTGCCTGAATCTGATTCGGAGAGTTGGCCACCGCCGAATTGGCCAAATCTCCAATTCAAACAGGCTCCCTCCCTGCCCGCTCTCCCAGCTCCATCAATGGCTGTCCTGCCCAGCCTCAGCGTCCTGGCTCTCCCTGGGCTTTTAAAAAAAAAAAAAAAAAAAAGCCCCCTACTCACTGGCTGCTTCCAGGCAGGAGAGGGGTGATCCCTGCTGCACCCCACTGCCCTGTGCTGTGTGGAAGGGCTCTGTCATGAGCCTCAATAAGCCCTGATGGCCACTGCAGTAGCCAGTGAGTGTGGGGCTTTTCTTTTTTTTTTTTCAAAGAGCTGGGATGCTGGGGCTAGGTGGGGCAGCCATTGACGGGGCTGGGAGAGCAGGTGGGGTTCAGGGGAAGCAGGCAGGGGATGGGGCCTGGCAGGGGTTCCCCCATGGTCCCCTCCCCTCTCCTCCAGCCCCTCCCCCGCCTCCTACTTACCAGCACAGAGTCCGGGTCCAGCTCCCTGTAGCACCAAGTGGGGACTGCCTGAATCTCCAAAGGTCTCCGAATCTTTTCTGTATTGATTCAGAGAGCTTTGAATTGATTTGGACCTTTTTATTGGTTTCTCGATTTGATTTGGAGATTCGGCTGTCGAATCAGGCCGAAACTCCTTCGAATCAAATCAGCACCCGAAGCTTTGCACAGCCTTACATCCTGGCATGCTCTCTGGGCTGGGCTCTCTGCTCCAGCCCCATCAGGCTGGCCCTGCCCTTCTGCTCCCCAGCCCAAGCAAGGACAGGCAGGGGTCTGGCCACAGTAGGGTTTAATTCCCCCCTCTCTAGCCTACTGGCAAGGACCCAAACTGGGTCTTCTGGGTGCTCCCCCCTGCAGCAGTGGGGCACCATGGCCCCTGAGGCAGAGGGGACTAGGGAGGGGGGTTAGCATTCCATCTACCCCATTGGCAGCTGGGTCTGCCCACCATCACTGCCACTCTCACTCCTTGTCGTGGAATAGGTTCCTTGCTGTCCCCTCCACAAGACATCAGAGGGAGGAGGAATAACCTCATCCCTACCTCTCCCAAGAGGCCCTGCAGGTCAGTGTCTGGCCATGCCCCCACCCAGCCACTGCAGCGGGAGGGGGCAGGGCCCTTGGTGGGGGCAGCAGCTCCTGTCAGAAAGTTGGGGAGCGCAAGTCCCTTCCTGGTGGGGGGCCCCGCTCTAGGACAGGCAGAGCTGTGGTGGGCTGTGCGTGGCAGAACTGGGGCCCAGAATGGGTCAGAGCCCTGCACAGCACTGCCACCACCACTGCTGTTGTGTGTAGCAGCGTTCCTCACGCTGCAGCACACCCTCCAGCTGCTGGGAAGAGGCTCACACTTGGGGAAACTGTTACAGGGGCTTCTGCCCTTGTCACAGTCACTCCCACCTCACCGATCCAGTGGCCTTGCAGGGGCATGGTCAGATACCACCGACTGTGTGGATCTGGCCCATGGAGGGGATCTGTGTGGCCTCCAGTGGTTCCCTCAATCACACTGGGCTGAGGCACCACTCTCTGAGCATGCAGCTAGGCTGGGGCTGTTCCATGGTGGGACTGCCTTTCTTGGAAGCCCAGCCGCAGCAGCTCCTTTTTGGCTGCCACTGGTCCCAGCCCTGCAGTACAGGCGGGAACCAGTGTGTGCAGCCATGACCCTGTGCACCCACACTGGCTCCAGGCTCACTCATCTAGGCTGAGCAGTGGCAGCATGGGAGAGAAACAGGATGCTCAGTGCAGGGGGAAAGCGGCCCCTCCCCCTCCTGCTGCCAGCACTTCCAGGTGCAGCCGCCCGGAGCTGACACCGGGCTGCCCTGTGTCTGCTCTGCTGCCACCGCTGCTCCGTGGGGCAACCCAGAGGTGGCAGTTATTCAGTGGAGATGTAGGGCAGCCCTGTGCGGGCTCTGGGTCGTTGCACCTGGAAGCGCCAGCAGTGAGAGGGTGAGGGGCCACTTCCCCCCATGCTGAGCACAGTTTCTTTTCTGCACTGCTGATGCTCAGCCTGGATGGGTGAGTCTGGAGGTGGTGTGGGGCATGCTGGGGCAGGGCTGTGCATGCTGGTCTCCACCTGCACCGCAGGGGTGGGGCTAGTGGCAGCAGCAAAGGAACTGCTGTGGCCAGGCTGCCAAGAAAAGCAGTCCCGCTGCAGAGCAGCCCCAGTGCAACTGCGTGCCCGGGTAGTGACACCTTGGCCCAGCAGGATTGAGGGACCCCAAGACTGGGGGTCAGGCAAAGCCCCCTGTGGGAGCCCCTGTTATGGTTTCCCCAAGCACAAGCCCCTTCCCAGTGGAAAGGAGGGCTGTACTGTGGGGCAAGGAAAACAGGTCACAGCGGTGCTGCAGGTGGGGGCTTGGAGGGCTCCAGGCCTTGGCACTGCCACACACAGTCCACTGCAGATGTGCCTGCCCTACAGTGGGGCCACCCACCAGGAAGGGCTTGCACTCCCCAACATTATGACAGGCTGCTTTCCCCTCCTGCTGCAGTGGCTGTGTGGGGGCATGGCTAGACACTAGTCGACAAGGACCCATGGTGGGGGCAGGGACAGGGTTATTCCCCCTCCCTCCAGCATTGGTGGAGGAGACAGCAGGGGGCCTATTTTGCTGCAAGGGAGTAAGCATGGTGGCCAGAGCTGGCTGCAAGTGGGATAGAGGGGACACTAACTCCCCTTTCTGCCCCCCTCTGCCTCAGGGGCCATGGTGCCCCACTGCTGGTGGCACAGGGAGAGGGGAATTAAATCCCTTCCTGGCCAGTTCAGCCAGGACTGGCCACCCCCCACACACTGCTCCCTTGCAGCCAAGGACATGCTCTAGTGCCCCCAGCTCCTGGCCTGAGCAACTGCAGGCATGTGCCTGCATGTCTGTTCAGTTACAAACTGATTTAGCCTAGCCAGGTTAGACTAACCTGCAAAGGTTGAATCAATTCAGGCTCTGGCTCCTTGAATGTCTGTCTCTTTGATGGAAAAGAAATAAAGATGTCCCCAGAGTTTTGTCATAAGTTCAGTCTTACTGTCTACAGCTTTGGAAATGTGGGTCCACTTTAGGGCTCCCAGGGCTGGGGAAAATGCAACATTTTACTAAGATAATGTTTTTTCAAGGACAATTTTCTAATGATTCAACTTCTATACCATGCTCACCCTATCACTCAGAATTCATCAGGTAGAATTAGGGGCCTGTCTACCTGTGAAGAGCAATTTGAGATAAGACAGAGTGTCAATTTAAAGTGGTATAGTTATTCTCAACTAACTCCATGTGTGGGCATTAGTACTCCAGCCTAAGAGTACCTCTATTTTTTTTTTGGTTTTAAGCTTAATTGATTTCCAAAGCAGAGAAAGTTAAACCAGAAAAGGGCAAATTTATTCCACAATAAGAACATTTATTTATGGGCTTGATTCAGAAGTGTTAATTAGGAATATTCCTTTGTATGGACAAGCCCTA